GTATAAATTTGGTGCTACCCTGTGCCACCCCCTCAGGTGTTCCACATATGAGCGCAACAATGTACTCATGCCATGTTCTCGTTAAAGGATCAACTCAATTACTTGTTGCCAAGCCCTCATCATGCTGAGGAGGATGAGGAGGAGAAATAGAAGTCTTTTGGCGGCATAGTTGTAGCATACTATTATACTATTATGGGTATAAAATCAGTAGAAAACAATCTTGATGTGAACAGCACGGCAGAACGAATGATGATGTCTAGAACGCGGCGCGGTATTTATATGGCCGTTGCCAGCGCAGTCGGCGCCTGCCTAGAGCGTGATTAAGTCGCACTAGGAGCGTGACTGGCGCACAGTTGAGGCGCGGTGAGCGTTGCTTAGGCGCAGTGCAAGCGTCGTTCGAACGCAATGCGATCTGATTGGTCGCAATAAAGACGCAGTGAGCGCAGTGCAAGCGTGATGCGGGCGTGGTGCATGTTGAGCGTGGTGAAAGCTTGTTGAGCGCAATGAGATCGGGGTAAAGACGCACTTAGATCGTAGTATTCGGTGCTGGGCCCGGCTAGGGCCCAATTGGCCACGCTCTCAACCACGCTCGGGCAAATTTTTGGAGCGTGGGGCGATCGTGATGAGCATAGCTCTGGTGTGAATGGGCCTTAAGTAAATGAATATAATTTACACGCCATCAAACATCGACCCCGCACTATATACGACATACTCTTACTACTATTTTATTTATGAACCTATTAACCCAAATCGTGCTTATAAATTAAAACCTGTGCAGAAATGTTTGTTTGCGACACATTTGACCACAATGCGTATGTTGAACAGTTATCTCGGTTGCACAGCACTATCTTATTCAAATCAATCACTTTCTTATTTTCTTATTTTTCCACACAGGGCTTCTGCGACTGTAATGTTCTCGTGCTTCACAATCCGTCTATTTGTTTTCTCTGCAGGTTGCTGGAAAGTCAGCTGCAAAATGAGAAGCACAACCACTCGAAGATGGAGAACGAGTACAAGCAGGAGATGCAGAAGCTCAAGAAGGATAACGAGCGGCAGCAGAAGATCATCGCCCTGGTAACCATTCCGTAGTATACGACCTTCGTGACATATGTGGCTGATCTGTTGTGATGCTGACAGGCGTGAGGTTTAGTTCTATTATTTACCTGACTGTTCTGATAATTTTTACGTCAAAATTGTAGTGTTGCGATACCACAGTCACAGTTCCATATTGCGAAATATAGACGTAGATCGTGAGGGAAGTAAATGGCGTACACAAAATGCTGAACTATTATGCAGGCCCTATCATACTCTGTGTCAAACGTGAATAGTAGGTTGGTCTCTCTGATGAAGCCTTCCAACAATCCCAAAAGTATGTCGTTACTCTATGTTTCAGCACCTCAAGATGACACCAGGAGAACTGCAGTCAAACCAGATCCAGCATGAAATGCAACGCCTCACCGAAGAGAACCTGGTAAGAGCAATAGCCGGGCGCCGACAAAGAGGGAGATAACGCATAGGCGCTAACCGAACATTGTGTGCCCACGCAGGAAAATCTGTGCACACAGAATTACACGCGCGGGGCAGTCGCGTATTTGCCTAAGACTGATTGTTCGGCAGTTCGTGAGAGACCTATGTGATTTACGGGGTACGCAATTACGCTTCGTCTATGAGCAGGCTTGGCTTTCGTGTGGGTGCGAGGTGGTCGACTTATGTCCTGTATTTTTGTCTCAGTAAGCACTAGAAGATGCGCGATGAAAGATTGTTGTGTGTTTTAAGCGTGTGTTTCCTGTTTCATTTAGAATCTGAATGAAACATTAGAGCTTCAGCAGGACCAGATTCAGAAGATGAAGAAGCAACTGAAGTTGTATGCGAAGAGGTTGAAAGCTGAAGGTAGGTCGTCTGTGGGTGACCCTGTAGCTAGGTCGTCTGTGGGTGACCCTGTAGCTAGGTCGTCTGAGGTGCAGAGAGATGAACTTGCATCGAGTGAAAGGGCACGGCAGTTCAATATCGTGTGTGTAAGATTTACAATTTAGGGTTTTTCAGATTTAACGTTTACGTCGAAGGTTGCAATTAGGAAATATTAATTATCTTGCTGATTGGGCCTCTGAACGTCTGGTTTCTTTCGAAGTTGCAACACAACACACAAACTATTCTTCTCTAGTTGTTAGTAGCAGTTCAATTGAAAGATAGAAATAGAAACGAAGTATAGACCATGGTTTTGATATGGAACATAATTAAGGCATCCAAGTGTAGAATTTTTCACTCTGGGCACCAACCAGTGTGAGCTAGAATGCGCACACAAGAAAGCCAGGTATTAGAAGCCATGTGACTTTGCCCAACATTTAAAACGTTTCGCAAAAAAAGACAAAATTCGTGTGAAAACGTCATTGTTTTCATGCATAATTTTTCCCGCGCTCCAAAATGGCATTAACTCGGAAATAGTAGCCTGTAACGCGGCGATGGTTGAGGTGATCCGGCTTCTGTTACGTTGCTACGTGTTGCGTATGTATGCGTGTCCATTGCTGTGTTATTGCTAAACAAGGACCGGCGCCACTGTCGTGGCCTCAGAGCTTGATGTCAAGCTGGTTTGGTGGTAAGTGACGGTTCGCACGTGTCAGAACTGAACATTGATGTTGATTTGTTTTAACCGTATAAGTGTGTAGGGAGTGAAATGTTTTTTACTTATTACACAGCATATTGGGAATGAGGTTGCGGTTATGATGCACAGAATGATGTAGTATGTTTGCATGTTAGAGGACGGTTATTCTACATTCGTGATTAGTATCAGTTCATGATTGCTCGATGCTTTTAATTTTTTATCGTTATCACTGAATTGTCACTTACGTTTTTGTACTGCTGTTCACAGTAGATGGTATGATAGCAATTGTTCACAAGCTCTGTAGAATAGTTCGTTTCATTATTAGGTTTGCATTGTGATAGTATTATAAGATGAGCATGATCTTAGTGAAGTTTTCATTTCTTGTTTATAATTGTAAAAAAAGTTCAAATTTTCAAAATGTTTCATTTCATTATTAACATTAGTTTTGTATTACCATTAGTTTTGTATTTCCATATTACAAACGGAGCAGGTTCTAAATGTATAGCACATGATCACGATATAAAGGCATTTATGTTGAAATAATTCAGGGTTTTTTCCACATTACTAAGATCCCACAACATAAGCATTTATTGACTTTTAATTATTTTCGAATAAATTCGATACTTCTATCATTGTAACTAAGGACAAGTTATGACATTCCAGTTTACTGATTTTTAAGTTTACACTAAAGCCTCATTTAATCTATTAAATTTCAATTTAGGCATTCAATTTTTTTTAAATTTGCGATCGGATACCATGTGTTTGTTGTGGACTCGCATTTTGCTTCCTCCCTTGTTCTTTCTCTTGTTTTTCTTCTTTGTGCTTTTTCTCCCTTGTTCCTTGACATTCCACCAAATTTATGATCGGATAGTGTGCTTCCTCCTCTGCTGCCGATCATGGCTTCATGAATCCGTGGCTTCTTCTCCGTACAGGATCGGAGACGAACCTCGATGAGATCCTGCAGCAGGACGTACAGACAGGTTCTCCGGATGCCAACATGCCCGTCGTCAAGCACAAGGAGGTCGAGTACATGGGCATGTTCGAGTACCGGGCGGACGACGAACTGCATCTCATGAAGAGTCTCATCTATGGTGAGTATAGTACCTCATCTTATGTAAAGCCTAGCGCAGACCTGCGACGTTTTCATGCAACTCGACAGCGATTCTAGAATCGCTGTAAAAATTGCTGCGAAATCGCTACGTCTGCGGGAACGTGCAACTGCATGCAACCCGTAGCAATTCTGGTCGCTTGCAACGAGTTGCAAGAAATCAAACTGTTTTTATTCTGAGTGACTCGTCGCTCCAAATCGCTCCCAAATTGCTCTAGAATTGCTTCGAAATCGCATGTGTGCGCACACGTGGGGACACATCGACCGACCGCTTGCGGTTGCAGGTTGCAACCAAAAATCGTAGGTCTGCGCTAGGCTTTACCTATGGTATATTATATTATATGGTATAAGAGCCTTATATCTTACGACATCTCGGCTCCGGGTAGCAGCAAACACGGGTGTGGGTCAGCGTTAAGGTCGTACTGCGATCTCCAGTCGTGCGTCGCTCGATCACATGTTGTTTGTAGTGAGTATGTAGTGATCGATGCAGAAGCATCGCGGCTAGTCGTGCGATGCTGTAGTGTTGTTTTAAGACAACGTAACAACGTTTGTTTGTTATTCACTGCCGATGAGATGATGTTGATCGAAGCTTACTCACCAATATCATCAATGGCAGAGATGTTTCGTGGGTAGAATAGATTATTGAGAATATCATCTATGTTTTTAGACTAAAATAATACTGCATAGGTCATAGAGAGGTACGAATATGCACCCCGCCGTTTCTAGTAGCACCGTGACCTACAAGCTAGGTGCTGACCTTTCAATAAAACATTGGTTTTCTCTCGCAGATCTGAGACCACAGGTAGCTTCGGGTCTGCTGCCGGGCCTGCCCGCCTACATCATATTCATGTGCATTCGACACACAGACTACGTCAACAACGACGAGAAAGTGCGGTCCCTACTCACATACACCATCAATGGCATCAAACGGCTGTTCAAGGTATCAACATTTGCAGTGCACTCCATCCAACATGTCTGCCTGTAGATGGTAGTTGTCTGGAATGTATTACAGTAGACATGGTATTTCGTGGCTGTAGAAGCGAAGTACTGCATTTGTGATTATACAGCAATGGTTTTGGACGTGATATTTTTAGTATTATGTTGTTTGTGTTTGGTGTTTGGCTTGGTAATGGGTGTATTTTTGTTTAGGTTAAGGTATTAATTTAGCAAGGGCTATTCACAACATGGTCTATTTTTTACGCGTTGCAACAGAGAAGAGTGTTTGCTTCGTAGATTGGACTTTGCTGACCTGTGACTGTCTGTGGTCAAGCACCTTGTCCTTCAATATTGACAGGTATCCAAGTGGGTATTCCGCACTCAGGGACAACAATGGAGTGCAAATAGACACGAAAGCTGATGATTTTACAGCGTAGCTCAGCGCATGGATAATGAGCAGTTAATTGCAGTGCACACACGGCGGTGTTTCGGGTGCAGTGTCACTGATTCCGTTCTTTGTCTCTGTTGCAGAAAAAGCGAGATGACCTTGAATACGCGACATTGTGGTTGGCCAACACGTGTAGGCTGCTTCACAATCTGAAGCAGTATAGTGGAGAAAAGGTAAATTATTCGTTATTGATTGTGTACATAACTTGACCTGATTTATAAAGGTGAAAGATTTCACATAAAAGTTCCACCGGATTTTAATTCAGCACCAGCTCGCCTTAGGGCGTCCAGTCAGCAGCAGCTCGCCTTAGGGCGTCCAGTCAGCAGCAGCCCGCCTTAGGGCGTCCAGTCAGCAGCAGCCAGCAGCGAGCCAGCTGTTATACACATGTTACACGCTCGCGGAGGTATGCACTCTCTTTGAGTGCCCTCTGTCTAGTTTCTAATGCATTATAGATTTCTCAAACATTGATTAAAAAAACGTCATCTGATTGTATTTTTATAATCTTCTTAATTACTATAAATAAAGAAAACTACTTTAATGAAACTAGTAGTGGGGGCCACGTACGTGCTCCAATACTGAGATATCAGAACTTCTGGATACAGGACCGACCTCGGTTATCCTCGGGCATGCTGAGCACCAGCAATAACGGAAAGGTGGAACTGCGCCATCATAGCTTCGCCATTTCGCTGCACGTTGATAACATCCCAGAGTTTAGCTTTCCAGCGGTTACATTTACACTGTGATTGGGTTTACACTGTGCGGTTCACTGAGGGTGGAGACGGTTGTTGTCGCGGTTCACTGAGGGTGGAGACGGTTGTTGTCGCGGTTCACTGAGGGCTGAGGCGACAACAACCATAACCGCGACAACAACCGTCTCCACCCTCAGTGAACCTGAGGGGAGGGAGGAGAATACAAATGGGGAAAGGCACGAGGGGAGGAAGGAGAATACAAATGGGGGGAGGCGTGAGAGAAGGGAGGAGAATAATAATGGGCAGAGGCGTGAGGGGAGGGAGGAGAATACAAATGGGCAGAGGCGTGAGGGGAGGGAGGAGAATACAAATGGGCAGAGGCGTGAGGGGAAAATACAAATGGTGGTAGACACGAAAGAATGGGGGGAGAAGGTTTCCTCTCTCACCGACGGCTGCCTGGACCTTCTCCTCGATGACGTGGATGACTCCCTGGTAGATCCAGACTGCGATGTCGCTCAGCACCTGCCTGTACTCGGATAGGTCAAAGTTGCGCAAGCTCTGCTCGTTCTGCCGCGGAGTGTTCGAGTGCTGGAATTGCTGCAAGACAACAAGCGTCTCCGCCCTCAGTGAACAACGACAACAGTCTCAGCCCTCAGTGAACAACGACAACAGTCTCAGCCCTCAGTTCGCCTCCCCCATTTGTATTCTCCTCCCTCCCCCCATTTGTATTCTCCTCCCTCCCCTCACGCCTCCCCCCATTTGTATTCTCCTCCCTCCCCTCACGCCTCCCCCCATTTGTATTCTCCTTCCTCCCCTCACGCCTCCCTCCATTTGTATTCTCTTTCCTCCCCTCGTGTCATTCCCCATTTGTATTCTCCTCCCTCCCCTTGTGTTCTACACCCGTTTCTCCTGCACTGTAGATTCACCGTTGGTGATAGAGGAAACATGCTCCCACCTCGTGCCTCCGCCCATTTGTCTTGCATCGTAGATCCACCGTCGGCGAGAGAGAGGAAACATTCTCCTCCCTCCCCTCGGGTCTCCCCCCATTGGTCTTGCAGTGTAGATCTGCTGTCGGTGACAGTAGATTCTGTGTTGTCCTTGAAGTTCACATACCTGGTAATATTATGGCATCTCACAGTGGAGTTTGAACCTGTACCATACATTCCGTGTAATTCGTTATTATAGCCTTTCGTGGAAGTTACACTGCAGGTGTAAAACCTGCAGGCATCACACCTCCTCCTCTACCCACTTTAACATGTAATGAGTGGACAATGGGAAATTACCTACTGTATAAATATCTAATAGAAATTTTCTATTATCTACCCCTGTTATTATTCTGCTATCTACCCCCTAATATATCTATTGCTATGCTCACATGCAGTTAGAACCAGCCGGTCTGTGTTGTAGTTGTTCACACACGCTCACGGTTGTTACAGTGCCGGGTGTGTTGGAGCATGAAGCCATTAAGGGCATGTCGGTGACAACGCCAGGATTGAGGCGGCAGCCAAGTGTCAGCCAGAGCCCAGTGCAGAGCCCATCACACGTCGACGCGATGGAGATACTGATGAGACAGGTACGTTTGTGAGATACGTCTGAGAGATTGTCTCGTTAAGTGGCGAAGTAGAATGAGAGAATTTTAGTAAAAATTAAATAATGGTCATCATCGTAATAATTAAATATATGTTCATTAGTATTTCTATACTAATTATTATCATTTATAAATAATTTTTACTAATTACTATTAATTAAATATGTTTAATTATAATTAATTAATCACAAAGTTTAAACCTCGCTGCGTGAACATCTCCTACTTCTACCAAGTGTGCTTAATATTAATTAAGTGTGTTTAATTATATTTAATTAATCGCGAAATGTATCCTCGCCACTCGCAGATCACCTGCTTCTACCAAGTGTGCTTAATATTAATTGTGTTTAATTATAATAAATCGCGATATGAAACCTCCCCGTGCGCAGATCACCTACTTCTACCAAGCGTGCTTAATATTAATTAAGTGTTTTTAATTATAATTAATTAATTGTTATATAAAACCTCGCCGCACGCAGATCACCTACTTCTACCAAGTGTGCCAGTCGCACGCGATCGACCCGGAGCTGATCAACCAGATCTTCAAGCAGCTGTTCTACTACATCACGGCCGGCGCACTCAACAACCTGCTGCTGCGCAAGGACCTCTGCCACTGGAGCAAGGGCATGCAGATGCGCTACAACATCAGCCACCTCGAGTGCTTCATACGCGACAACAACCTGCAGGTGCGTGGCGGTGCGGGGGAGGGGAGGTTTGTCAGGGTCTGAAGGGCCCGCCGTGAGAGTGTTTTTAAGCAGCTATAATATCGTGAGATGTCATAACGTTTTGCGCAAAAGGGTTAGGACATGTTGAGCATGTAATAGTCGTAACTATTTACGATGCTTCTGACGATGGGCGCCAGCCTTGGTTATGCCCATGAACTGATTTACTGAGATCTGAATTATGTTTAATGTAATATGGATAGTGTCAGGTGGATAGGATCATCATCATCATCATCATCATTAGTTTAATGTCCGTTTTCCCTTTCGGGGTTGGACAGTTTTATTCCTTTATGGAATGGTTTTGGAGCAGTTTTACAGCCGGATGTCCTTCCTGACGCCAACTCCTTTTAGTTGCCTTCTACGACACGCAGTGAGATACGTTAGACCTATTCTACAGTTAACTCTCCAAATTCAGAACGCCTTTAAAACGGTATCTCACGTTAAACCAGACGAATTTTTAAGTCCCAACATCATCTGAGACATGCAAGATGTCCCCCCCCCCTCCATAAACGGAACTTCACAGAACCAAACTAAATGGACGGTCTCGAAGGAGGTCGGTATTGGGAGTGTTGACTGTATTTTATAGTGTTAATCATGTCACACGGGCTCTCTACGTGTGATGTATAAGGCAGAGCTTTTCCACGTCCGTCCGCAAAACAAAAACAATTCAAGATATACTAGAAACAAACAGCAACGTTGTAGAGGTTCCACGTGCCGAGGGCACGCCAGGAGTGCCCGACCAGTTTCTTGCGCGTTCTCCGCCCCTCAGTTGACATTCCATTTACCCTTGTGTCCACCGCAGGATGCCGGAGCACTAGAAGCACTGCAGCCCATCATCCAGGCGTCTCAGCTGCTGCAGGCTCGCAAGACCGAAGCTGACGTGCAGAGCATCTGCGAAATGTGCACGAAACTCACCGTGCAGCAGGTAAGGTAGAAGCAGGTAGCACCACGCGCGGGCAGAGAGCGCGGGGGCGGACAACGCACCCGAGCGCGCGTCCGAAGCCCAGAGCGGCGTTTGTTTGTTTCCGTTCGTTCGTGTGTTGATCGAACGGTGATTATTACGTCGAGCCCATAATGTAGTTCAGGCTATGTGTGTTAATAATATAGTACAACTTAAGAACCTGCCTCTAATGCGACCAAGCACGCGTGAATAAGTCACGCTGCTAGTTAACGCTAAGAATGGATGATTACGTAGCTATAATAAGTCGCGAGGTTGTATTACTCCTACATAACAAACGAACGCCGTGTTGCCGTTTTGCTTCGTAGATCGTCAAGATTCTGCACCTGTACTCGCCTGTGAACGAGTTTGAGGAGAGGGTGCCCGTCTCCTTCATACGCAAGATCCAGGAGCACCTGAAGAGTCGGCAGGACGGCGACGCCTCACAGACTCTGCTCATGGACACTAAGTTCACCTACCCAGTGAGATTCCCCTTCAACCCCTCGCAAGTGCAGTTAGAGCAGATTGCCGCGCCAGACTGCCTCGGCCTCCAGTTCCTCAAGCGACTTTAGACAGCCGGTGAGAGTCTGGCGTCCGTCTACGAGCGCCGGACCGCACAGTGAGCCCGGAACTGTCTCTTCACGAGATATTTTTGGAGTCGAGTTGGTTCACGAGGATTTGTTCCCACCGCTGGTCGTTACACCGCGTCCGCAGACGCTCACGAGTCTAGTGAATTATTTATTCGCATATGAAACCTTGTAAGGATGCGCGCATAGTCTGTTGTGCATAGAACCGTAGAACGTGGAAAAATTAGGACCGGAGTTATAGCACATCTGAGCACAGCTGCGATGTTTGTGCGAGGGACGTGTCGTATTCACTGTATCCGTCAACGCCATGAATTCATCGCCGATTGCCTCTGTTTACTAGGTACGTAGTGAAATTAATGTAGGCGCAAGAATTCACTCAGAGTGCAGCTGGTTTGCGCTAAATCGCATACAATACCGAGCAAGTACGAGTACAAAATACTACAATACAGTATCGCGTACAGTACGAGCAGAGCAGGTTCTGTATGTAGAATGTGTTAGTTGTCCTAAATGTGTGATGCTCTTGATGGGTTGTTGTAGTTCGTCGTTCCAACACGTGTAGATATCACACTAATAGCAGCCGAATCTATTTCACAAGGGGATTCACATCGGGAATGCATTTCCCAGTAAATGTCCTTGAGGTGGTCACTACAATATACTGAAGCATTTAGTAAAAGTGGCGGAACGTAATACTCAAGAGGCTTCAAAAACAGCGACAGGCATGTATACAGCTTGCTGATGCTAGCCTTATCATATATGGCCTTCCTTTGCTTTGTATCGTATTTATTCTTTCATGTAATTTATTCTCGATTATTTGAGCATGTAAGATATTCATGTGATCTATTGCTGCATTCCGGGCTTTTATAAAAACGTTTTCTCCCAAATTGAATCAAAATTATTTACATCACTTATTATGTATACAATTTCTGTACGAGTATGAGACCTTTGTTGGACAACGTACTGATCGACAAGTGATACTTATTGTACATTCCAAATCTATGGGCAAAAAATGACATCCTCCCAGTAAGCTTATCCAATTAAGACCTTGCGATCTCCCAAAAGAGAACGCTCCCTTGTAGTAAAAATGCTAGATCAGTACGTAGATGGGCAGTGGTTTCTTATTTACAACCTTTCAAAACAAATTATTCGAATATAAAATGGAGTCGACCGTTTATGTATCAATTATGACTGGGAAATTTTCAGTTTAATTAGGTGAAGGTAATGATCTACGTACTGATAGCGTAGGTACTGATCAGCACCAATTAGTGTATTGAGGGAGATGTTTGTTTTATACACGAAGTATAACTATGGTAAGTAAGCATAATAATAGAGGTCACTCAGTCTAATACGTTAAAGATGTCAGATTTCATTGAATGATTGGTTAAAAGATATATAATTATATATATATATATATATGTATATATTATATAATTTCATCAGTCAGTACTTAAATATCATGATATCCATTTTTAATAAATAAAAACATTTTACCTGAATAGAATACGTGTAGTGCAGAATTGTAAACCAATGCATATCGATCATATATGGTTGGTATCTTCTATTTACATCAGCTAGGACAGCCTAGGATCTTTTCATTTTTTAAAGATCGCTAACACATAATGCCGTCAATTTATAAAGATTTCCCGATTGTAGTGTCACATTGAATCGGGGAAAATTGGGAGACAAAATCTGTTCCTTGTGATGAGTAGTAAACCCAATTATCAGGTACCGGCCTTAGTTGGCTAGTAGTGGTGCATATCCAAAAATGCAGAAATTGTGAAATAATCATTGTAAGGACATAGACATATAATCAGGTAGACATTGTGAAACAAGTGAAGTCAGTAATATATAACAAGCAAGTGACAAGTTAAGAGCGATTGGGTTTAGTTTGTTAGCTCCATGTACACCTAACATAACCAAATACCCGGCCAAACTAAAGAACCCAGAAACAGTTATATAAACCCAGTGCTGTGATAGCACTATCAGATAAAAAATTGTGTAAGCAGGAATGTAGGTTTTGCCACATTCCAGTTATTATTCTGGCAACCGTGGGTATATAAATAGTGCTACATTATTTCTTTTGTGTATCATTCTGTGTAAATACATATTATCATGATGGATAGCAGTTGATCCTTTAATGATTCTCCTTATTCGGGCAGCTAATCGTATACTGTCGTTATTATACAATGCAGTTATAGTATTTATCCTCTGAAGACAGATATTGATTTGCGATATGTTAAAAATATTCTTCAAGTGGAAAATAAAACCCATTGTTCAAATGAAGGACTTGTGTTTCTGCTTCTAGGACTAGTGTATGGAATTGTGCTATTGTATTACAAATAACTAAAAATTATTTTGTTTGAAGGAGGCAAATTAACCGAAAGAAACTTCTAGTGGTTCAGACACTATTTACACAGGAATTTATTACATTAAAAACGTTTACAACACAGAAAAAAAGATATCAACTGTTAATAACGTTCATTTCAAATGCCGAATAACTGGACAAAGAAGTAATCCGGTGTGCATTCTCACTCCTTATCCTTAACAACCAGTGCCATAGGACATTTGCTATTACCTATGTATGAAAAATCAATAACTTGATTTGGCAACATATAAATGTTGAATGTCAATTTAATATAAAATATACGTCGAGTAAATGAACTCCTGGACAAACCAGCTCATACAAAGAAGTTCAGAACAAGGAATGCACAACTCACTTCATAATTCGAACTGGGCTATTCCACTGGCATATTTGGCAATGACGGTGGGTATACCTCATCATTTTACACATGCAAAAATTTACAAGTAACTAATACACAAGTTTATATCAATATACATATATAAGTAATACCATGAATCTGTGTAGACTGAACGAATATATACCTACACTATTCCTTCTATTGTAAATGGCAATCAGGATGGACCACTTATAATTAATGCACAGGCATATGCTTGATAGTATCTCTAACTTCCTGATCTGCTTCCTTAATTGAAATTAGAAGGTGCTGCTGATATTATTCACTTAAAAGAATAAGCCTACCATGTAGCAGGATTTATAGACAAAATATACTAAGTTTGTTGTCTTCCGGCAAAGGACAAAGTGCAGATGAATGTTCCTTCGACACACACAACTTCATGCTAATACAGATCAGACGGAACGTTACTCCGCATCATTCCGAGATGGTGGACCAGGTGTAACCGGACCTGGAGATAGAGAAACAACATTACTAAAAAATAACTTGTAATAATTTGTAATGGCAACACCGCTGTTACATGATGCCTCAACCACAGTGAATTGATGCCAATGACAGAAAATAGTGCCAATAAAAAGCACAATGCAGCCATAAACCAACCAACAAGGGAAAGCTTTACTTTTTTGAGTATGAACTCATTGTAAGCTGTTTGATTGGTCGAGTCATATAGTCTAATAGACAATGGGGATCATCAATTCCTTTCAGTATATAAATAAGGCAATAAAAATGTAGCAAGTGATATTATTGGTTTACTTTTGCCATCACAATGCAGGGCATCAACAATGTCGCCCAGTATATAAATAAGGCAATAAAAAACTGGCAAGTGGTATTTTCTGCTTACTTTTGCCATCACAGGCAACTATTTTGACCTTGTCAACTTTCACCAGTTCTGTGACATCTTTAAATTCTACGTCTTTTAATACAAACGTCCACACATTATCGCAGAAACGATATGTATCCAAGTGGCCAGCCTGCGGAAAAACAAGATTGATGTTATTTGCCTTCAACGTAAGAGAGCCACAGAACAGGCACAACACAGAACATACTTTCATCCCCTTGATGTTGACCAGCTTACCTTGAATGTGACTCGATTTCGCACACGTGTTGCTAAAGCGTTGTTAATTGCTTTGTCAAACTGTAGAAGCACCTTCAGAGCCAACTGTGGTGTTATCTGTCCACACTGAAAAATCAACACCACCATATATGGTACACGTTTAAGTCACAGTGCCTTACACCTTTCACAGGTGCAGAAAAATCAGAATGGATGGCGCTCCTTGTCAGAGTTGATATTAAATAGAAGCATGCATATAGCTACCAGCATCTGTTAGTATTTTGGGTAGTGTGTTACGTCATGCACACAACCTACCCAATAAATTATGCCACTCCCACATTCCACCTATACCACATTTACTCACTAGTGCCCAATTCATGTTCTCACAAAGTTCCTTGACCGGTACTATGCCTCTACAATATGATATCTTTGCTTATATTAGTCTACCAGTCTAGAAAAATTGACGTCATGCTGCGTAAAGTTGCGCACGTGTGGTGTGGTAGCGCTTCCATATCTTTTTCCCAAATCTTAATAATGCAAGAGCAATCATTTTGTGTCATTCATTTAATGTTTGATAGCATATATATCATAATTTTTATGCTGAAGTAATCAGTAATATATTAATTATTATACACGCTGTATCTGAAAGTGACAGTGACACTGACAGGTGAGATGAGACTAAGGGCGCATACGTTTGGTCGGATCCACGAATCTCGATCCAATGGATTCATTGATCTGACTGTTTGTTTGGTCGGATCACTTGATCTTGATCCACCGAACCCGACCCTGCTAGCGAGGCGGATTCGAACAGGATCCAATATGGCGGCACGCACCTCAGCCAATCACAGCTTGTTCTTTGTTATGAACCATCCCGTAATAGGTCACAGCGAAACGTGAACCGGTGAAATTGAGTTTTGCGTTTGTTTGGTCGGATCAGGATCATATGATCTCGACTAGTGGTGCCCCCGGACGGCCCGTTCTTGTGCAAACCGAAGGTTTGAGTTAATATATGCAGCGGCACGCTCCCCCTACTGGCAATTTAATACAAAACAGGGAATTCACTGGGAATTCAACCTAATCTGAATTCGTGGGCAACAGTGACTGACTTGACACAGCGTTTGCTGGTAAGCATGTCATCGTAGCATCGTTGAAAATTTTTGGGATTGAAAAGCGTGCGAAAAACTATAATAAAGCTTAAATAACCCTAATTACCTCAATGACTACGCCCACCGCATGCCATTCACGATGTTTACTCGGTGACATGGCCCTCCCAAATCCCATTGGTTGATACAAATCACGTGCCTCAAACTCCTCAATGACGCCACAGTGTTGTCAAGGCACATCCATAATACAGAAACCCAATGATCCTCAATAGCCGAACGCCTAGAGCACAGACGACACAGCTGAAATGTCGTTGGATCGAATCCCATCTGTTTTTTAATTATTTTCCTGTTTTTTGTATTTTTCTGTGTTTATCCATTTAACTATTTTTTCCCAATTAACGCAAATATTTACATGATTTATTGACAACAATTTAATAACAACAAATAATGTTGTTTTGTTTATAGGGTTAGGGTTAGGGTTAGGGTCACAATGCACCATAAAACAGGAGTTTGAGGCCCGTCATTTGTATTAACCAATGGGATTTGGGAGCTATGCAGCCCCTAGCTGCGTGTGTGTAACAGCTGTATATTTCGCCGTCGTTGAATTTCTCTTGCGTTTCGCGTGATTGACGGAGCAGTTCTTCCGTGATTCTCATGCAATAGCGATGTTTCATGTCTATAAACATTGACGTCATATGCGCGGGTTGGCAGCAAGCAGATGCGTGATATTGTTCGATATAAGCACATGCACGCACGCACGCACGTGTACCTGCACACACATGCACGTATGCACGCACGCACACATGCACACACGCACGCACGCACGCACGCACCCACGCACGCACGAACGTGTAACTGCACACGCGCGCACGCACGCACGCAGGTGTACGTGCACACACACGGGCGCACGGACGCATGCACGCACGTGTAAGTTCACACGCACGCACGCGTGTACGTGCACACGCACGCACGTATACATGCACATGCACACGCGCGCACGCACGCACGTGTACGTGCACACACACGGACGTGTACGTGCACACACACGGACGCACGCACGTGTACGTGTACGTGCACACGCACGCACACACTCATGCACGCACACGTGCACACGCACGCACACGTGCACACGCACGCACACGTGCACACGCACGCACGTGTACGTGCACACACACACGCATGCACGCACGTGTACGTGCACACGCATGCACATGTAAGT